CCTTAGCAAAGCGCATCCCAGGCTGCATAGCCGCACTACCCTACCCAACCATACCACACATAAACATGACACTACCCCCGGGGTTTACACAGACGAGCCGGCGAAGCAAGAAGAGCGCCAGAAGAAAGGGCCCTAGCCGGCGGGGCCCAGCCAGGACAAAAGGAGGTCCCACAAAGCGCCTACACCGGCCGCATTTGCGGTCGGGGTAGACGACGGATGGGGCCCACCTACGAAGGCTGTCCAGGCCTACACGAGATGAGGCAGGATAAAGAGGGATAATCCCCCTCGATCCCAAATCATTGAGGCCAATTTCTAGCCATAGAATAATGGCGCGGCGCCCTCGATCCCAAATCATTGAGGCCAATTTCTAGCCATGGAATAATGGCGTGCGCGTCCATTTCTAAAGTAGGACTCTATGACAACAGCTCGTATCTCCGCACACTCTAGAAAAAATAAATAGTCTTAAAGCATAGTCAATTCTGTTGTTACTAATCTTAAAGAATGTCTTTTTCTAGCCTTATTATGAGGTTCGAAATTGTTATTGGTAATTATTACTATATTATGGCCATTCATCAATCTCAGTCTGAATAAAACTCATGACTCGCATTCTATTATGAATTACAAAAGAAGAAGAAGAGATTTGGAAAGATGACACTTCAACTTCACTTATGAAATTTTTACGGTTAAGGTTATGTTACGACTGTTATTGATGGTTGTTACCAAGGGTTGNGTTTTTAAGTCTGCGTATTGTCAGTCTTAGTTCGTCAGGTGTTGCGGGGGGGATTATGTCATTGTCTGGCTCTCTGTCGACGCGTCGGGCCGCGCGCTCAGCCACTAACTCGAATTCCTCAATTGTAACAGATCCTCAAGTGTTCTTCTACTCCTCTCTAAATACATACTGCCATCGATCATATACTATTGGGGCTAGCAACCCAGAATAGTAAACAACTTTATTCTGTGCTTAAAGCACTTCTTCTTAAAGTCAATTCTGTTGTCACTAATCTTACTAATCTTAAAGTATGTCTTTTTCTAGCCTTATTCGAGGCTCCAAATTGGTAATGGTAATTATTACTATATTATGGTCATTCTTCAATCTCAGTCTCGATAAAACTCATGACTCTCATTCTATTATGAATTACAAAAGAAGAAGAAGAGATTTGGAAAGATGACACTTCAACTTCACTTATGAAATTTTTACGGTTAAGGTTATGTTACGACTGTTATTGATGGTTGTTACCAAGGGTTGTTACGTATTAAAAATTTGAATTGATTATCTGTTAAAAAAGAAAATAAAATGTTACCGGAAAAGTCTAACGAAACATTTTGCAGGCTGTGTCTTAATATTATAAGCGACACAAATTGTGAAGTAATTGGGGAAGTTATAAGGGAAGTCCTAAATGTTGTTTTGCAGAAGTTCGTAAGTTTTAGGGTTTATTACACCTAAATTATTGTTCACTGGTAGTTTTAATAAAGAATATATTTTAGAATTTCCAGAAGAGAGATAAGCATGTAATGTGTAAAAAAATGTCGCATTAAATTATTTTCCGCTCTTAAATTTAAGTCTATATGTATGGATACTGAGGATATTCTTTTTCCTTATATTGGTTGCAATAAAATGCTAGTTAACTTGAAAGAAATTTATCTAAAGGAAAAAGGAGATAATCACTTTATCGATGTATCAGAAAATCAGAAAATTTGTCGATTATGTTTTCAATTGATTAAATGTGGATTTGTGAAACCAGATGAAGTGGATGTTGACATAATTGATAAATATATACCACAAGTAGTAAGTATATTGCAATATACTCCTGACAAAATATAAATACAGGACAAATTTCTTATTTTTGTTTTGATGTATAAGTAGTTGTTCAGAGTTTTCATAAATGTTTACAAGCCACGTGACCAGTGATTTTCTTTGCAACAATAATTTTATTTTCTTTATGTTGGCAATTTTTCTGTAAAATTAAACAATAAGACCAAGACTACATTAAATCATTCTCTATCAACTGCAGATTCTGAAAAGAAATTTTACAAACATTTGAAATTATTACTTCATTATTATGATTGTTTTAATTTTTACAACCGCCACTTTTGTGTACTACATCATCTCTAAATATTCATAAGAATTTAAAATTAATTTTCTCTGATTTAAACGGAAAAGGAAAATTATTAATGTTAGAACAATTTTATAAAATGGTTTTTACCCCGAAAACATTTTAATATTTAATTTCCTGAAAACCACCTACAAATAAAAAATTATTGATTGATCTTCTAATAAATAAGGAGCTTTAGAATTTTTATATCCATATTTTTTAAATGGAGTGTGTGTAGGAACTACAATGCATATGTCATATGTTATGCGGTTTGTCTCGCCATCTGATTTTTTTTTGAGTTATTTTTTGCACCAGTACTATTGTTACCTTTTTTATTCATTTTTTTTTGTTTATCTAGAACATCAGTGCCATTAAGGACCCTGTTATATGTGAACTGTGCTTCGATTCTCTTGCAACTCATGGTAGCTTTGTAAAAAAATGCCTTGATGTGCAAGAAAAATATGAAAATAACAGTAAACAGTCTCGTATTAATATTGAAAATGTTGATTTAAATCTAGAGGAGGATGATCAAGTTAGGTAAGAAAGTATCTGATTACCAGAGTTATGGAATAACAAAGTATCTTTACTGTTTTAGTGATCCACCTCCGCATGGTTCGAAGAGAAAAACGGCAAAGAAGAGCAAAAGAAAACGTGGTTGTAAAGGCGTAAGGCGAACAAATAACAAACGCAAACGTTATGCTACATACGGATGTGACAAATGTTCTTTTAAAACTCACTCGAAATACAATCTTACTAGCCATCAGATAATACACAAAGATCTATCAGAATTACAAATGTTCAAGTGTGATGAATGTAGTTTCGAGACAAAATATAAAGGCAATATTAAAATTCATAAGTTGCAACATAACACAGACCCTTCTAAAATCAAAATATACAAATGCGATAAATGTACTCACGAAACCAAATATAAGTGTCACCTGAAAGTGCACCAGTTGAGACACAAACAGTTATGGGAGATTCAAATGTACAAGTGTGATAACTGCGATTTTCAAACAAAGCGTAAAGAACACCTCCAAAATCATCAGTTGTTGCACAAAAAACTAGATAAGTTTTCTGGATTGAAAGGGACGTACAAGTGTAAGAAATGTACTTATGAGACTAACCATAAACATAACTTCATACGTCATGAGTTAAAGCATGTGGAACGTTTTCTGGCCCAGATGTACAAGTGTGATAAGTGTGACTTTGAAACAAAGTATAAATTGAGCCTTATAAGACATCAATTAACACACAAAAACTTTTCAGAACTGCAAGTGTTCGAGTGTAAAATATGTGATTTTAAAACCAAACATAAGGATAGTCTTAGAAGCCATCAGATAGCACACAAAAAGGGCGAAATGTACAAATGTTACTCTTGCGATTTTGAAACTGCCTGTAAACGTAATCTTATAAATCATCAGGTAATACACAGAGATACTTCTTTGGTCAGAATGCACACCTGTGATGTGTGTGATTTTGTAACCAAGCATAGAAGTTGCTTCTCGAGACATAAGTTAAGGCATAAGTCTGAAATGTAAGTGTATAAATGTGATGAAGGCATTTACATGATTAATTATAATAGAAGTATGACATCAGCTGAAACACAAACATTCGTTGAAAATTCCAATCAGTCCAATTATTTTTCGACATACAATTTCTATCAAGACAAAAAATATTTACATGAAAATTTCACAACTGCAAATCGTCGCTATTAGAACGAAAAACATCTGAACATTTGGATTAAATGACTATTGTAGCCTGACAATTTATTTTTCTATGTTGTAGCAAATATACATTCTGTCAAAAAAGTATCAGAAATTGTAATAAAACAATATATTCAATTAATCATCAAAATTTATTTTGTCCTTCAAAATAGGGTCCATTTGAAGCAATACACTTTCCCAACGAACGACCCAGTCGTCAAAACACCTTTTAAATACATATTCCTTCCGCGATTTCCGTTTTATGCCTTCTAGACTCAAAATGAGTTCTACGAAGTGATAATTTGAGTTTGGGAAAGAGGAAATGTCAGCAGGGACCATATCTGGCGAATACGGTGACTGCCTGATGACATTCATCGAGTTTTGTTCAAAAATTCATTCACAATCCAGGAATTTTCTTTCCATAAATCTAGTCTTTTCCGGCGCTTACTTCTAATGCCTCATAAGGCCCAGATAATGTTCTTTGTTGACTATTTCTCCATCCGGAAGAAATTATGTGTGAACAACACTACGATAGTCAAAGAAAACAGTCAACATGACTCGGATTTTTGTGGCTTTTTTTGGTTTCAGCTCATTAGAAAAGTGACATTCCAAAACTTGGCTCGTTTACAAATCAAACTCATGAACTCATGTTTCGTCACCTGTTATCATACAGAGTCCAAATTAGCTCATTTAAGCATGTCTGCGATGCTCTTTTTGAAGAAAATTCAGCTCATTTGGAACCAGTTGTGCTGCGACGTATTTCATTATCAATTAAAATGATGCAAACTGATTTAAGAGATGTATTTAGTTCATATGCCAGCTCTCTCAAACTATAATGACAGTTTGCAAGCACCACGACCTGCACTTTATCGATGTTTTCTTCAGTTGAAGACGTTGAAGGACAACCAAAACGTGGCAAACCATCGACCACTTCTTGACCATGTTTGAATTATTATACCGTTGGTATGGTTGAGTTTTTGATAAAACTAAATTACTGTATGACTTTCCCAATATTTTCAACAATTATTTTGTAAATATTGGTTTAATAATATCTGAAAACCAATTATAACATTTAAAAGTTATGAAATATTGTATCACTGGGATTTCTGGCGAAAGTTGACGTCAAGCAAAAAATTATCCAATACAAAAGTTGTAGATCATGAAATCTACAACTTTTGTAGAAGTCACTTTTTAACATAACTTCAAAATTTCCGAGAAAAATGCAAAAAACAGGTTTTCTTCTGATTTTTCGTTTTTTATTTCTCATGTTCGCAAAAATAATTTAATTTTGACGAAACTTGATGAAAGTATACCTTTCTATGTCTTAAATAACCTCAAATTTTTTTAGATAAAAAAATCAAGAAGTTTCTGATATTCATTTTTTTCAAAGAAAAATTCTACTTAAAAAAAAACATCGTACAGAGTCCTGCCAGTAATCATTTTTTTTGTTATTATATACTTTTTGGTGAAATTAAAAAATCTGTACTCAAAAATGCAAAAAAAAATAAAAAACGACTTGTAACTGAATTTTTCAGTTATTGTTGATAATTTGTTTAAATTAAAAAACATTCAAAAACTGATTACACCATTCAATTTTATGGAAAAAATAAAGAAAAAACTGTCTCATTGTTTGACCCAAAACTTTTTGTACAGTATTACAAATGCTCAAATGATAAATTATCTCTGGACGATTAGAGATTTCAGCAATACAAAGTATTAGCTGCAAAGTCTACTGTTGACGTGAAATCCGAAAACCCGAAGTTTTGCAAAATCGTTTTATTTTTTTTCTGGCTTTATTTGAAAACGAATTTTAAATAAATTGCATATTTACATTGCCACTTTTTCACTCTATCCAATGGCGTCAACATTTTTGCAGTCCGACTTTTCGTCTTCGAGGGACCATCATCAGATATTGTAATAAAAGGTTTTTAGCTATCATTAAGAATTTTTCCTGAGTACGGTTGTGAGCGCTTTCAATATACCTGTATCTATTGGAGGGGAGAGAGAGAGAGAGAGAGGAGACAATAAAAGTAAATACAGCACAAAATATCCAACAATTTTTTTTAATCCATAATTTAAAAAGTACCTAACAAAAAAATAATACGAATTTATGAAATATTTTATTATAGTTAGTATTGCTAATAGTAGTAAAAAATTGTTGGATATTTTGTGCGGTATTGACTTTTATACTGTTATGACTTCATCCAATTGATATTTTGAAAGCGTTCAGAGCCGCACTAAGGAAAAATTTTAAATTATAGCTAAAACAAGATAAAAACTTTTTAAGCGATTACAATAGTAATATCCTTTAATTCAGAGTTAAAAATGACTTTAGATTTTATCATAAAAATAGCAGCGATGTATTTAAAAAAATTAACTCGATGACGGTCCCTCTAAGACGAAACGTCGGATTGCAAAATTGTTGACACCATTGTATAAAGCGAAAAAAGTGGCATTGTAAGTATGTAATTTATTTTAAAAGTCGTTTTCAAATAAAGCTAGAAAAAATTAAACAATTTTGCAAAATTTCGAGTTTTTTCGGATATCTCCGGAACTACCCGAAATTTTGAAACTTTCTAAACAGCATATTGTTAAGTATAAAAAACACAACTTTTTTCTAATCTGAGTCACCCCGTATCTCTTACCGTTTCCTAGATCCTAATGCCTATCCCATTCTTATCTTGGACACACTGTATATCTATGAATTCATTAAAAAAATAAGTACACTAATTGAACCTACGGAAAAAACATTATTATTTATTTTATTTATTTACTATTCGACTTATGTTTATAGCAATACTGTACAAAAATAGTTTTGGCTGAAATACTGAGACAGTTTTTTTGTATTTTTTCTGTACAATTGAATGGTGTAATCAGTTTTTGAATGTTTTTTAATTTAAACAAATTATCAACAATTACTGAAAAATTAATTGCTACAAGTCATTTTTTACTTTTTTGCATTTTTGAGCATGTTTTTTGAACTGTGATTACAATTTTTTTTATTTCACCAAAAAGTATATCTGAAAACGTAAAAAATTATTACCGGCAGAATTCTGTACGACGATTTTTTTAAGTAGAATTTTTTTTTGAAAAAAGTGTTTCAGGTCGAAAAAAATAAATAATTCAGAAACTTCTTGATTTTTTATCTAAAAAATTTGATTTTGTTAAAGACAGAGAATGGTATACTTTCACAAAGTTGCGTCAAAATTAAATTATTTTTGCGGAAATGATAAATAAAAAACGAAAAATCAGAAAATGCCTGTTTTTCGCATTTTTCTCGGAAATTTTGAGGTTGTTAAAAAATGACCTCTACAAAAGTTGTAGATTTTTGCATGATCTACAACTTTTGTATTGGATACTTTTTTGTCTGACGTTAACTTTCGACAGAAATCCCAATGATCCAATTTTTCATAACTTTTCCACCCTCCAAACCAACCCTCCGCCGCCCCTGTTCACGCATTTATTATTTTTTTCGTTTATTATAAGCCCGTTTACCATTTCCACTTATAAAAGTCCAGGTAACAAGTAACAATTTTCATTTTTTTCCTTCTAAATGAGTTAAATTCTCAGACTAATCTTTATTCTATTCGCATCTGTTACAGTTTCCGAGATCCCTGTAGTGAGAGGCGAATTTGTAACAGCCTGTATATCTTGAATAATTGCAAATATTACATTCCGATTGAACTTTGCTGAAATAAATTTGTTAGTCACTTCAATTACTTTTTCTTTGTTGCTGACCTGTTTTGGTAAATTTGGTGGAGTAGCAACACATAGAGTGGAAGGGTTGTAAATGATATAAAGAGTGACCAAAAAAAACCTGCGATTTTCGCCCATTTTTTTCACAATTCGCAGAGATTGAAAAAAAATACATAGAAATATCTTCCTACTTAGGGGTTGAAAAAATGTTAAAAATGAAGAATTTGAATATTACCAATTGATATAAAAACTATTAGCATGTGAATTATCTTAATATATTTTTTTTTGGAATTTTTACAATTATTTCTGACGTTCTCTATTTTTGGGGATGATTCCACCCCCTGAGCGCGCTTAAGGGTGGATTTTTCTAATTCAACTTGCTTATTTCAGTCATGAGAATAAATATTTCTTTGTATCAAGAATCATTTGATAGAAAAATTAACATGCTAATAGTTTTTATATTTATTGGTAATATTCAATTCTTCATTTTTTGCGTCTTTTCAACTCCTAAATAGGGGAAATTTTTCAAAAAACTAAAAACTGCTCAACTTAATTTTTTACGACGAGTAATTTGAGACCAAAATAGTGAATCACCCTGTACTGCCGATTTTTAACTTATTTCCCATGCACCTGTCTACAGAGTGTCCGCAAATTTCACCGACAACGTTTGACTGCGTATTCACGATGAGGAATAAATACGATCTACGAAAAAAAGTTAAATAAAATCTTTTGGGTTTTTTGAGTTACAGGACTTCAAAATTATAAAAAATAAAACTAATTTAATTAATAACTTCATAACCCTTTTACCGATCACATTAAAATTTGGCATATACTGGGTGATAGTTTTCTCCCGTTATCTCTCCCTTTTAGCGGTCAAAACTTGTACAGTGGTCGTATTTTTTTAAAACGGGCAGCAACATTGAAAAAGTCGTTTTATTAAAAAAAAATTGACTCTTGACAAACACGCCTGCAGAATACCATTCTTGAGAAAAAAGGCATTATTTACAAGTCTGTACGTTTCGGCTTGCGTATCAGTGTTACAGATTTAAAACTTTGAGTTAAGTAGGCGATGAAAACGAGATGTTTGCTGTGGCAACATACAGACCTGCAAATAATGCCTTTTTTCTCAAGAATGGTTTTCTGTAGGTGAGTTTCTCAAGAGACCACTTTTTTTTTTTTATATAACCCCCTTTTTTATTTTTCTTGCCGTTTTTAAAAAATACGACAACTGTAAAAGTTTTAACGGCTAAAAGGGAGAGGTAACCGGAGAAAACTATCACCCATTATATCGATTTGACTAAATCGTCAAGAAATAATATGCCATAATAGTCCAAATAAATTTCCAAATTTTAACGTGATCGGTAAAAGGGTTATGAAGTTATTAATTAACTTAGTTTTATTTTTGACAACTTTGAAAACTCAAAAACCAAAAAGTTTTTATTTAACTTTTTTTCGTAGATCGTATTTATTTATCGTCGTGAATATGCAGTCAAACGTTGTCGGTGAAATTTGCGGACACTCTGATGTATATACTAGGTACTATTTATTTATTTTTATAACAGTTGTATTTAATTTCTTGTTTAATGTACTCTCTATATTTACATTTAGAAGTTGGGATAAAAAAATTCCGCTTTACTACCCATTCCTACGCCACTGACCTACAAAAATTAGTAAATTTTACAGTAAATTATGCACATATGTAAATGATAACACCACACCAAATTTGAATCAATTCCTTATAAGCATAGTAAAAATTTCGTAAATAATATGATTTTAACAACCGACCAATACGGTGCTGTACAATGAAAACGGTGAGACTTAGACCCTTGCTTTATAAGGCAATTCTGATTATTTATTGAGTTCTATTTGTGGTTAAAGTTTGATTCACTCGAACTGAAACACCCTGTATAAAGTACAATTATAAACATAAATGAAGCCCATATAGACTTAATAATAATAATCTTTATTTTGTAAAAAATATCAAAATCTCCAATCAACTTGTGTTGAAACTTTTTTCTCAACTTGTAGAATTTAGAATGTTCCGGAATTGACGTCCCGAAGATCCTCAACTTCCCACCATTCACACGTACCACTATCGCTGGCATGTTGGAGGACATCTGGGTTGCATTCGGAGCATACAACCAGTAGCATACTATTAAACAAGTTTTATGTGTCACAAAAGCATATTATAATTAGGAAAAAACTTACCTGTCTTTGAGGTATTGCTGTAAATTAACGGACAGTGTTAGTCGGTTTGTGATGTTGCACAGATGCGTATAACAGCACATATTCATCGTGGCAGTTTTAAATACGCAACTAATTGTGTCATTAATACTATATGTCTATTTATATGCGTTTAACAGGAACACTGATAGCCGCAACAGCAGTGTCGAGAATATTTGCAAGTTGGTATAAAATAATTAGGCCTGGCAGCATGTGATAACAAATAATTAGTTCTAATAGGAAACCGTTAAAAAGTAATAAGCACTGGCCGGATGTGATAAGAATTGTCACAGTCAAACTGGCGATAGCACTTTATATTAGGGTGGGTCAAAAATATTCGACTATTTTTTTTTACTTTATACTCTGAAAAATAGGTTGCTAGACACCTCTAGAAAATTCTCTCCAAATATGAGCTCTTAATTTTAATAGGAAGGTTCTCCGCTTTATAGTTTTCCATTTTTTCCTCAGTATTAGAAAAAAAATTCATAAGGTTGAAGTTTGATTATTTTAAAACAAATTTCTGTTTTGATTATGAATTTTATAACTCGTTAACAAACTATTTTATATTATTTATAAAGAAAATTTTTTACAGTGAAAGTGTACGAATATTTTATAAATGTTTGAAATTTTATAATTCACTTGATAATTAAATAAAAAAACTTTTTAATAACAAAGTGAACAATTTTTTTCTTTAAGATTAACACTTTTCATAATAAATTTCTGACAAAAACGTTATTTTTTCAAGATTTAATGAATTGTTGACTCTCAGTCAGAAATAATGCACTAATTTTTTTTCGATGTAACCAAACATGATTACGACTAAAAAAAAACTAGAAAAATAGTTTAAAACATTTCTCTATTCATAGAAACTCAAATTTGTATAAACTTCCCTGAAACTCATAAACTAAATTGAAATTTTCCGAATTATTAATCAAAAACTGTTAAAATTGGCGTGCATTGAAGTTTGACGATGAATATCTTTTAAACGCTTTATTTAATCGACCATTTTTGTAGAGCAGTTAATTTCCTACAAAACTATGAATTGCGCAACTCATTATGATTTTTTGTTAACGAGTTATAAAATTCATCAGCAAAAACAGAAATTTGTCTGAAAGTAATAAAACTTTAACCTTTAATATCTTTTAAATGGTGAGGTTTACGAACGAATTGTAAGAGACCTTTTTTGTAGAGCGTTCAATTTCCTACAAGTATATGAGGAGAGATATTTTTAACAAACAGTTGATAGAGAGATATGAATTTTTTTTTCTAATGCTGAGGAAAAATGGAAAACTGTAAAGCGGAGAACCTTTCTATTAAAATTAAGAGCTCATATTTGGAGAGAATTTTCTAGAGGTGTCTAACAACCTATTTTTTAGAGTATAAATTTAAAAAAATGCTTTACTAGAACAAGAAGGCGTTTTCTAGCAGTGAAAGGGTACATTTTGTCTAGCATTTTTTCCACCAAAGGTAAGTACATAATTTATTGCACTAGGTAAGTTGAGACCTACTCATTAACGGTTAAAAATAATTTAGATATAGCAAAGTAAAAATTATATAATAGTAGTTAGATATTCTTTAAGCGCGTAGTAATAATAGTTGATTCGCAGATGTGAGAATAGTACATAGTCATTTTGTGCCCAACATTATTATTATTATTATTATTATTATTATTTTTGTTTTATTGAAATATTTGAAAGATGGTAAGACTGTCCAATTAATGATGTCATGACAGCGTACAAATCTTATGTTAATCATAGCAGAAATGATTCATTAACGTTTGGTTTACTCATTTATTTTACTCCTTAATTATTATGGAAAGATATAATATTTCAAATAGCTAACATATTAACAACAGCGAGAAAAACCTTTAAACCAATGAATTTTTTTAAATAAATCATTTTAGTTTACTATCATTTTCTTCGAGATTCTAAAGAGTTGATATGGAGAACAGGCATACCCCTGCCCCCCTAGCTACGCCCATGTTAACAATGTACCGAGGCAGGAGGGTGCCTTGAAATTTTCCGCAGCATTTTCAGAACATTACAACATATACAGTGTGTCCAAGATAAGAATGGGATAGCATTAGGATCTAGAAAATGGTAAGAGATACGGAGTACCTCAAATTAGAAAAAAATTGTGTTTTTATACCTAACAATATGCTGTTTAGAAAGTTTTAGACATTATTTACATTTGATAGTTTTATTAAGAGGTTGGGGTAATACCACAGAACAGTAAGTATTCCAAAACATACAACAGAGGGTAGTAAACTAGAGATGAATGAATTCTGGAATTGGCTTGGTGCAAAAGTATAGCTGTCCTTACCGATTTAACTATACTGTGATATAAACCAGCAGCACTGCATAGTGACGTCAGCAGTTCTCAATAGTATTGTATTAAAAAAGAAAATTATGCTTGTTTAAATTAGACCTTTTTTATCACATTTTGAGAAATAGAAAAATACCTATGGATTTTTCAGATCATAACTAGATTAACTAGATATTAGCGAATTCTACAAATACAGGTACAAAATCACATGTCGGCTTCTGTTCCAATCAGGTTTTTGAGTTTCGACCAATGTGTTTTTCAAGGAAGGTGTTGTTTTACTTCATATTTACGTGTTTGTAAAATATAGGATACCAATCCTATATTTTGCAAAGACTCTTTACACTTAGTTGTTAACAAATCACACAGATCACATTTGTACATTTCTATTTAAGAAGACTCTTTATGCTTCGACACGTGAGAATTAATAGAGCTCCTGTATTTGGTTTCAAAATCGCAGTCATTACACCTGTACATTTGAACCTGCAAAGGGTCTTTATGTTTCAGTTGGTGTTGTTTGATATAACGCTTGTATTTAGTTTCGTAATTACAGTCATTACACCTGAACATTTCAACCTGCAACGGATCTTTATGTTTCAGTTGGTGCTGTTTCATATTGCTCCTGTATTTAGTTTCGTAATTGCAGTCGTCACATCTGTACATTTGAATCTCTGAAGGATCTTTATGCTTCAGTCGGTGCTGTTTGATATCACCCTCGTATCTAGTTTCGTAATCACAATCATTACACTTGTACATTTGCACTTGCGAAGGATCTTTATGCTTTAGTTGGTGCCGTTTGACATAACTCCAGTATTTAGTTTCGTAGTTGCAGTCGTTACACCTGTACATTTGAACCTGTGACGAATCCTTATGTTTCAATCGGTGCTGTTTGATATTCTTCTCGTATTTACTTTCAAAATCGCAGTCATTACACCTGTACATTTGAACCTTCAAAGGGTCTTTATGTTTCAGTTGGTGCTGTTTGATATAACGCCTGTATTTAGTTTCGTAATTACAGTCATTACACCTGAACATCTGAACCTGCAAAGGACCTTTATGCTTAAGTTGGTGCTGTTTCATATTACTGCTGTATTTAGTTTCGTAGTTGCAGTCGTTACACCTGTACATTGGAACCTGCGACGAATCCTTATGTTTCAATTGGTGCTGTTTGATATTCTTCTCGTATTTAGTTTCAAAATCGCAGTCGTTACACCTGTACATTTGAACCTGTGACGAATCCTTATGTTTCAATCGGTGCTGTTTGATATTCTTCTCGTATTTAGTTTCGTAATTGCAGTCGTTACATCTGTACATTTGAACTTCTGAAGGATCTTTATGCTTTAGTTCGTGTTGTTTGATAACATTCTTGTATTTAGTTTCATAATCGCAGTCGTTACACTTGTACATCTCAACTTGTATCGAATCCTTATGTTTCAATCGGTGCTGTTTGATATTCTTCTCGTAGTTAGTTTCGTAATCGCAGTCATTACATCTGTACATTTGAACCTGTGACGAATCCTTATGTTTCAGTCGGTGCTGTTTGATATTCTTCTCGTATTTAGTTTCGTAATCGCAGTCATTACACTTGTACATTTGAACTTCTGAAGGATCTTTATGCTTCAGTTCGTGTTGTTTAATAAGATTCTTGTATTTAGTTTCATAATCGCAGTCGTTACACCTGTACATCTGAAGCTGCGAAAGATCTTTATGTTTTAGTTTGTGCTGTTTGAGAGCATTCTTGTATTTAGTTTCGTAATCGCAATTGTTACATCTGTACATTTGAACCTGCGAAGGATCTTTATGCTTCAGTTGGTGATGTTTGATATCATATTTGTATTTAGTTTCGTATTCACATTCGTTACACTTGTACATTTGAACCTGCGAAGAATCTTTATGCTTCAGTTGGTGTTGTTTGATAGAACTGCTATATTTAGTTTCGTAATCACAGTCATTACATCTGTACATTTGAACCTGCGAAGGATCCTTATGTTTCAGTTTATGTCGTTTTATATAACTCCTGTATTTTGTTTCGTAATTACAGTCGCTACACCTGTGTAGTTGAACCTGTGAAGGATCTTTATGTATCAACTGATGTTCGGCAAAAAGTATCTTATCCTTTGATTCGTAGATGCAACCATCGCATTTATAAATCAACGGTTGTGAAGTATCTTTACACGGCAATGTGTTGTCTTTGGTTTTATCGACACACTCATCATTGTTTGCATGTTTGTGTTGTATATAATGACTAGTAAATCTGGTCTTCCACTCCGTTTCGAAATCACAGAAGTTGCATTTGTACAATCGTGCTTTGTGTTTTACCTGACGCCTAACAAAGTTAGACCTGTACTTTGTCTCATAATTACAGGACTCGCACTGGTGCGTACGTATTTCTGAAGGGTCTTTATGACTCAACCGGTGCCTCTGAAGTAATTTCTTATTTTCAGTTTCATACTCGCACGATTCACATTTGTGCACTTCAGAATTGTTCTCGTGTCTCGCACAGCTTGCCGCTAAACAGCTCTTGCTTGCAGTCTGGTAAATACATATATCACTTTTGTACAATACTTGGGCCTCATGCTCGGTTTTTGTATTACATTTGTTTTCCGGTCCATTCTCTTCTGCATCTTTACAGTTATTCTTCATGAATGGTCCAATATCGGAGCCCTGTAGTAGAGTGTCACTGAAAAAAATGCATATACAAGGTACTTTTCAAAGTGAGGTTTTAAATTTAAGAGGTTATAGGGGATGCCAAATGTAGTTATAACTTTTGGACTCCACAACGCATTTTTAATTTTTATTATCACATAAATCAAATTTTTGTGGACAAATTAGATTTGTAACAAAAACACAAAGAAATAAAAATAAATACTGAAGTTTCAACGTCGCCTGCAAAAAAATAAGTACTTAGCGGTATGGGTATTTTTTACATTTCTGCAAATACAATTACTTCAGTTACTAAAAGTGAAAATATTTTCAAATAGAATCTATATGAATTTCATTTAAATTGGACGAAGCATTTTAGAATTACATGCAGAAAAATCAAAATTTTTTGGTAACTTTGATGCAAAAAATGAAACAACTTTGCATAAAGGCAAGATATATTAAAACATAATATTTTAGAGGGTTTGAGACGGTTCCTATGTAGAACTAAAACTATCAGTGGAAGATGCAAAATTCCACCAATGAAAATTTGTTCTTAAAAACATCCCTACACCACAGCTCAACCATTCCATTTGAAATTTTGGAGTGAGAGCTTCTATGTCGGTGAAAGAAGCAGTGCATTCGTTGTATATTAGAGCTGTATCTTTCCCGACTGTTAACACGAGGTAATAACCTGTCCAGCAATACGCAATTCAGTTGGTATTGGTATCTGGAATTGGACCTTGCAAGTGTTTTTTGCGTACCACTATTTCCTTTTGTTGAGGTGTTTTCCAGCGAGTGCGCGAAAATTGGATTCGAAGGTATCGTGTGTGCATCGGTGGACATCTCGAGCATATGTTGCAGTTTGTTTTGTACAAGTGCGTTTAAAAATTACTAAATTTTGCTTTTTGGCAAGTTGTTTTTGGCTAAATTATTTTTAATATGTATGATTATTTGGACAACGTGAATCTTTGGGTACTTTAATTACATATTTTTCAATTCATAATTTGATAAAAAGTTAAGTTCCTGATTTAAGTGATTCATAATTTTACTAAAATTCGAGCTAAAATTTAAGCACAACAATATCTTCGTACTACAAAATCGATACATTTTGTTTTATTTATTTAAAACCTGGAAAACAATTGTCTTGAAATTTACTAAATGTTTCATAATAATAGTTGTTTACATTTTTTCCGTAGGATAAGTTTGCCGCTTGCACACGTGGTATGCATCAGCTGTGTAGCGCTGTTGTGATGAAACTCCCCAATATTAATATTTGCTGTATTTAGAAAACTGTTAATCTTGTGCCCCTGTAATATACAATGTTTTTGTTCATTTATGATTTCTGGTATCGAATAGTGGAATTTATTTGATAAAAATTTTTTAGAATATTTTTTTGAGTCTGCATTAGTTTAATACATTTAAAATTGAGTTAAAGATGTATAATCTGTACTGCGGTTTTCATCATGCTAGAAAAAATTTAGTACACCATGAAAATTTAGTACAGTTTGCTGTACACACCAAGTACAATTTTTCTTAAAGCACAGGCTACCTCCAACCCTCCACCATTACTCGACCGAGTACACGCGCTCGACCGTTTTTGAGCATGTTTGAAGGAATTTTTCACCTATTTCACATAATTTTGTTGGAAAATTAGAATATACGTTTTGTAGCATTATACTTCTACTTTTAAAATCCAGCTGAAAAATTAAAAGTGAACCACCTCCAACACATCCAGATACTTTGCAAAATAATGCTCCAAAAAATTCAAATTGCAATTGTGCCGAAACTAATGGTCCGATAGCGGCTGCTTTGTGCACACTTATAGTACATATAATTTACTACTTTTGTGCACAGGGTCAGCTCTACAACTTAAAAACTAGTGGAGTAATGAATTTTTAGAAAAACACTAAATTTTCCGATTTTTCCGAGTTTTCTGTTTCTGATTATCCGATCGTTTTATTTGTATTTTGGTTCTCTACAAATGGTCTTATTATAGCATTCAAATTGCTTTGTTAGTTTAGGTTTTATAGGCAAAAAAACTAAAAAGAAAATGCTTTTTGCATAAAAATGTTTATTATAAAAAATTTAATAATGGTTAATTGGAGTAGGAAACATGCATATATCTACAAAATGTCTTTTATATGATGGAACAGTCCATTTGCTACTACTATTTTTGTCACAAAATCACTGGTTCTTTGATTGGCCTGAGGCGCAAGTTTAACTTTTTTCCTTTTCAATAGGGTAGAAAATGTCATTGAATAAAAGGAAAAAATCAGATTAAGGTTGTTTCTTGTTATTGATGTCATTTATGAATTTATAGTTTTGTTTTGTATATGATTTTTTATATTTTTACACTAACAAAATGTTGAGCCCACTTTTCAGTCGTCCTTAATAGCTATAAAAGAAAAACATTTGGCAACCCTATAACCTCCACTCATATACTTTTTATTGTCATTGATCCCTCAACCATTAATTTACAACCATAATTGATTACCTCTATGGGGATGATGTCACCATAATACATTCAATGATATATTTATATTTAAGGAGGTTCGATACCGAAAAAAAAATGGTAAGTTTTCAAAGCAATTGAAATCTGTTAATAAATATGCAAACTGTCTCGTGTAAAAATATCAGATTGATTGCCAATGTAGTTTTTTTGAAAAATGATATTAAAAATTGTGCTCTTATACACAGGCTCTTAAGGGAGTTGGGGCAAAAACTTTAATCAAACGTGAATATTGCTCTTAAAAATGGTTAGGATTGGGAAAATAAAATTGTAATTAAAGAATTAAATATTACTAAACATTTTAAAACAATAAAAATATGCACTTACAATGTAATTATTGATAATGGAATAAATATATAAGGTTTTGACAAATTTGAACAAACATCTGATCCAATGAAAGGAAATATGGCAACACTGTATGCTGTATTTAACGCTTTGACTGACGCGCTATATTTGAATAGCTCGATTATAGACTATAAAATTATTCCAGTTGAAAACATAATTATGTAGTAATAATTAATATTAAATAAATTTTTCGTGATCTAATGCAATATAATAGCAATTTGAAACAAAAATTGAAAGGATCGTTTTGCAAAACGAACTGTTAGATGTTCTGTCATAATCTTCAATTTGACAAGGCGACGTCTCACTATCATACACTGAACTTCTTGATAGTTATCATATGGATTCTCGGTTTGCACATTATACTTTTTTCTCATCAATCCACATTCTGTTTCATACGCATTTTATATTACTTTTCAGTCATTACTTTTCCTTTGTACCTTGGATGTTCATTCATGTTTACGGAATATGCGCAAAGTTGACAGTAATGACAGTTGACCCAACTTCTACCACCACGCCATAACAATGTTGCCAGATTTCATTCATAATTTTACAAGCTCTTAATAAATAGACACTTTTATTCAAATAAAAAGTTAATTGCCGGGCATTAAACACGAAAAATATATGCAAGCTAATATGTGTTGTATAAATTTCATTCGTATATATTATATTTAGCTCACTCAAATTAGTTTATGTAAGGTTGGTACTACAACGAAACTACCGTGTATAAGCATAGGCTTCCCTCCCGCACCGCCTGCCCCGCAAGAGATGTATCGAACATCCTTAATTTTATAAATTATGAGAGTAAGTCGACCAGATACCATGCCATTTTTTAAATTAATATTAAAATAGTCCTCTTACCTCCTTTCCTCATCCTCCGATTTTATGTCAACACTTTCAACTTTGATTGACATTTCTTCATCTAGATATTCACTCTTAACGAATAAATCAGATGGTAATGTATCTATCTGACATTCTGTTGCTGTTCTATTAAGAATACATCTAATTTTTTCCTGTATTTCCAAGCAATTTTTTAGGAAACTGTTATGTGTGCAGAGGGAATCAAAGCATGGCATGCATACGATGGGATCTTTGACGATGGTTACATTCTACAAAGCAGTTTTATTAAATTATGGGAAATGCAAGTATTCAATATTGTTCATACCACTTCAGGAGCCAATTTCTGAATAGTTTCGAGCTCCTCTTCATGTATGCACATAAACTCACTTTTCACTGGTTGCATACACAATCGACATATTTTCTGACTGCACGAAATATTAACTAACTCGCTTCTCTTTTCCTTCAGATAAACTTCTCTTATGTCAAGCTGTAACATTGTTTCACGATCCACATATGACATAATTATGTTATTAGTATTCAGACATTTTGTCTTGAATTCTAACGCTGCAGATAATTTTCTTCTGCAAGTATTACATATAACTTCTTTGCTCTCACTATCAAATTCCTGAAATATTTTAAATCATACAGAAATAATTGGCAGAAAATATTAATTAGTTAGATTGTCGAGATGTATACAAATTGATACAATAGAAACTAAATCTTTTACCGACTTACCAGTTTCAGCAAAAGAACATCCAGAATATCTCTATTAGCGTTGTCTATTACTTCAAAACCTTTAACTGTTATAGTTTGAACTGTTTGAAGGCAAAGCATACACGAAATTTCTTGAAAATTGGTCATTATAACTTTCTTGATATGAAAATATAAACGTGTTGGAGTTGGATCATCGGTTGTATCCATAGAAAATATAGTACTTAACGCTATATTTTCTATGGTTGTATCGCAAGCAGTTAACCCTAGATAAAACCCAAGGCAGAGACAACTCGCAAGGACATTTATAATACATGTATTATAAATATCCTTGGATAAAACAAAAGTTAACTTTCTATTAAGTTAACTAACAGATCACCAAACCGAGGATCAAAGTTTGATCTTCAATCAGTGAGTATTCTGTTGTATGGACATCAATCTGCAATCAGGTCGAGTTCAAATGATCCGTAAATTTGTCTAGTAACCTTGATGTTGGCTACTTTGGTACTTTGTCAATGATAAAGCGCATGTACCAAATTTATTGATTTATTGCTACCGAGTGTACTACCGAGCAAAAGTTCAAAAGTCCTGAACACATGAAAATAATGCGGGAATTTCTACACCAATTTTATTTATAAAAGCATCGTAGTGAAATAAAGATTAAGTGTGTATTATATTTAATTTTGAATCTTTTAATTGTTGATTTGTATACTAACTTGCAATTAATAAATATAAGTATGTTTTTTAGATACTGTAATTTAAGAATGTAATCAATTTTTAAATTTGTTTATTTTGTAGCTTGTTGTAGTAATTATGGCTGACAAAATTAAAAGTGCAACTAATTTTACATCCAATGAAGAATATCTTTTAACTGTTCTGCTCTAGTTACCGTTTCTTTATTCTTTATTTTCGTTAGTTTATATTGTTTATTTTGTCAACTGTCAACTATTGAATGCAGAATTATTGTTCTTCTTCTTGTTATAGTAGTATGGTGCGAACAAGAATGGTAAAGTCTAGTTTACAATTCGCGTACTCAGAATAAGAATTCCTGGGAAAAAAGTGGCCGTTAACAATTTTTTTATAGACACTTTCAATCTACTTTTTCGGAAATTGGCGGTGTTACAAAGCATACACTATATAGAGAGAATTCTCAGGTATAGAATTTGTTTAAAGGTTTCAGCACTCCCGGTGGATGGACCAAAAATTATTTTCTTTATCGTGCATTGAGCTTCTCATATTAACGATTTTACATTTGCAAATGCTGATTGTATTAAGTTAAATTAACATTATCGATAAGTTAAACGTTGAGCATACCATAAGTTATTAAATAATAATAATGAAATATGTACAAAATTATTCATTTTTCAACAAGAACACATGCGTATTAGCGATCGAATAAATTATTGTTTAACACAAATATGAAGAAATTCTGGATTCTATCCAGGCAAAGTACCGTTATTTCGTACTATTCGATCCGCTCCCGAATAGGACAAAGTGGGAGATCCCGTATATTAAATTTTGTGTGAATTTGTTTAAATTCGTTAAATATGTACAATTATATTTTTAACAAATTCATATGATTCTAGTGTTAACATTTTAATATTTTTTATATAAATATATGTACAAAAAGAATATTAAAAATTTCTGCCGTTTTTATATAGGTCAGTAGTTCATCTCCCCCAGGGCACCGTCCTGTCCCCACACCTATACACCATTTACAACTCCGACATCCCACATCCCCCCAACACCAACATATACTTATACGCCGACGACCTGACAATCACATCCCAATCCGTAGATCCTAGATATTCCGTCTACCTCCTCCAAAGCTCCTTAGACCAACTTGAAACCTGGTGCAACAGGTGGAAAGTCAAAATTAATCCCAACAAAAGTTCGGCTATCCTTTTTACCAAACGAAAAATCCCACAAAACCTTGACAGACTGACACTATCCCAGGAACCCATCTCCTGGAATCGACAAACACGATACCTGGGCGTGACGATGGACCAGCGTCTCACGTGGAAACCGCACATCGTGGAGACGGTGGCGCGAGCGAAGACCACCAGGGCTAGGCTCTATCCCTTACTCAAAGGTGGAAACACCCTCAGTTTAAGGAATAAGCGAACGCTTATCAAGGTGGTACTTCAACCGCAGCTAACCTACGCCTCCACGGCGTGGGGTCACGCGGCAAAAAGCCACTTAAAGTCATTATAGACTGTGGAAAACATAGCCCTCCGCACGGCCACCGACGCGCCCTGGTACGTAAGAAACACTGACATATTACGAGACTTACAATACACAAACGCTACACAGACAATAAGACAAAACGCGGAGAAACGATTTGACGTAGCCGCTAGACATGACAATCCCCTCCTCAGGCAAGCCGTTGACTACGTACCCGACGTGACCGACAAACACAAAAGACCTAGACACCAACTTTTTGACCCTGGGTGACCACCCCAATGCCCCCCCCTGCCCGCTAACCTTTTCTGTTTCAGAGACAGCCAGGATCAAGAAACGAAGACAACGACACACACACACACACATACACACCCCCCATACCCTCCTTAACCCTCCCCTCCCGCGCTAGCCTAAGGGCCACCTTAGCAAAGCGCATCCCAGGCTGCATAGCCGCACTACCCTACCCAACCATACCACACTAAACATGACACTACCCCCGGGGTTTACACAGACGAGCCGGCGAAGCAAGAAGAGCGCCAGAAGAAAGGGCCCTAGCCGGCGGGGCCCAGCCAGGACAAAAGGAGGTCCCACAAAGCGCCTACACCGGCCGCATTTGCGGTCGGGGTAGACGACGGATGGGGCCCACCTACGAAGGCTGTCCAGGCCTACACGAGATGAGGCAGGATAAAGAGGGATAATCCCCCTCGATCCCAAATCATTGAGGCCAATTTCTAGCCATAGAATAATGGCGCGCGCGGAGTAGTTCATCGGCCTGTTGGCCTGTCTATTGAAGTGTCACGTGCTGACGAGCAATTGATTTTATAAGTTACTATTAAAATTAAACTATTAAAAGCGGAAATTGTATATTTTATTACTTTGTTACCTATTATGATTTTTGGTTGTTGTCGCAAGTTTTTTTTTCCGAATAATTTATTTCGATTTCATATATCATACTTAATCCAACCTAACTTACGTAAGTAGTTTTTGTTTTACCAAAATTTCGAACATACATTTCTTGTTAGTTTGCAATCTCCGTCCAGTAAAGGCGGAGTTTGGATATTCTATTTGGGAAAAAAGGTATATCGTAATTTTCTATTTAACTATTTTATTCAGTGGGTCCAGCGCGTTGTTGACAGTGAAGTCTATTTACTACTATTGAGTTCACTGGTTGTTGAAGACAAAATTGACATATGACAATAATTGACAACATAAGTGAAAGGTTAACAAATAGGTATTTATTTTCAACAAATGTTGAAAGAAATTATTAAAAACAAACATGGTAATAAACACATATAACGACATATAAACGTGTCGCTAAAAAATTCTAAACAAGCTATCAAAATGGAAAGTGATGAACATAAAGACACACAAGAAGTATCCATCAAAATAGAAGGCAATGAAGTGAAAATTGAAGAAAATTGGGAGGAATTTAATGACAGTTTGATTAAAAGTGATGAAATTAATGTAAAATGTGAAGAAAATCCAGGGAACTGGTAAAGCGAATTTTAAACATTCTGAATAGTAGTTTTTGTACAAACATTTAATAGCAAATTTTCAATTGTCATTTGAATTACGAAATGATATTTTAAATTGCATGCCTAAAATTTATATTTTTCAAGTATATGCCTCCTTATGCGTGCAAATTTTCTGTTTCTAAAGTAAGTTCATTGTTCTCTGATTCTAAGATTTAAGCGCTTCGAGGTTCTACTAACATAATATTTACAAAGTATAGTGTAAATGCAATCGATTGAATTTTTATCTCATTTTCCGCTCGATTTTTGATAAAATTGTCCATAGTAATTTGAAAAACTAAACCTATTACCATTTTTTTTATTTTGCAGATATATAGAATGGTCACATTTAAAGTGTACACCATTAGTGTATCTCCCGAACTAGAATTAAAAAAATACCAACTTTCATTACTTTCAATAATATAAAATATACCTATTTTGTAATTTAACCAAACCTGATATCTTCTAGTTTGGGAGATAATAATGGTGTACACTATAAAAGTAACCACCCTGTATATTAACATTTTGTTGTTGTCTTTGAAAATGATTTTTATTTTCAAAATTTATTTGAATATTTACCTTGTACGTATATGCAAATACTATTTTATGGTACCTTTTTTGGCAACTACTTCGACGTTTGTACAAAAAATTTTGCCCGTAACATAGCGAGATAAATCTCTAGGCACGTGAAGTGTTGTCAATTTTCACATCACTTTCCTGGTCTTCTATTTTGCAAAAAAATAACTTATATTCTTTTTTTTTCAGTGACTTTGCTGTAGATAACACAAATGTCGAATCAAGTAAATGGAACCACATTCCTGTAGGAAAAATAAAAGTTGAATATTCAAGCGTGTACATATGCCAAGAGACGCAATTATACAAATGTGACCGTTGCGATTACGTGACCAGTTACGAACAGAATCTAAAGGGTCACCGTTGGTCCAAACACCGAGCGAAGGCCCCCGACCAGTCCTACAAATGCGATAAATGCGATTACATAGCAAAATACAAGTCAGCATTCGCTAATCACCAATTAAAACACCGCGACCCATCAGAAATACCGATGTACAAATGTGACAAGTGCGACTATGAGACGAAGTTCAAGAAGATTCTGGCCCGCCACCACCGAAAGCACGAGGAAAAGGAAGTCCAACTGGTGTACAGTTGCGACGAATGTGCGTACGAGACGACAGTGAAGAGCAGCCTCACGAAGCACCTGCTGAAACACAAGGCAATGTCCGAGACACAAGTTTACACCTGCGACAAGTGCGATTACAAGACTAAGTTCGCGGACTACATGAGGCACCACCAATTCGTACACAAAGATCCCACGGAGATCAAAATGTACTCGTGCGATAGGTGTGATTACAAGAGTAAGTACAAGAGCGGCTTGAAACGGCACATGCTGAAGTACGAAGATCTTTCCAAACTGCAGATGTACAAGTGCGATAAATGCGACTATGAATCCATATATAAAAATTGCCTGGCGTCGCACCAGTTAAAACACTTGGACCCCTCCCAGGTTCGATTGTACAAATGCGTTGAGTGTGGTTTCGAGACCAGATATAAAAACAGCCTTAAGACGCACGAACTAACCCACAAGGATGTTTCGGAAGTGCACGTATATGCGTGTGACCAGTGTAATTTCAAGACCATCCAGAGAAGTAACCTTTTGCGCCATCTGCGGAAACATAAAAACTCTGCCCACCCAAAGTGAACATTTTCCTGTAACAAATATTCTCCACTTATAGTCCAGACGGTATCTGTTTCAAAAAGTCCATATTTGGGTGAATTGTATATCCATGGAGATTTTTGGCTTTCAAATATCACTAGAAATGAAAATTTATTCTCTGCTTCCCCCACTACCACCATCCGTACGATTTTCTTGAATTTCTCGCTTACATAAGTAACTTGAAACACGTTTTAAAGTAGGTTGCCAATGAAGAAAAGTATTACAAACTAAGACCTGGTAAGTACTCGGAATACCAAAGGTATTTTTCGAAAAATTAGCCCGAATGCCCCAGTACATTTAGTGTAAATGACGGTTAACTTTGATCGGCTATAACTACGTAACTAATTGACTAATCGATCCGTTTTTATTTTAAAGAAGCTCCTTTCCAATAACTTTTAAAACCTGCTTTAAAAATTTTGATTTGATTGAATATTCACAAAGTTATTCTATCTAATTGTTTATAACTACAAAAATTCGACCAATGTTTAAACAAGCGCCAGAGCTCTCCTAACTGACGGATCCGAATTTTTCAAAAACGTTTGAAAGCTTGAGAGCTCTTCTATATGTGATTAAATTTTTAAGTATCTAAGGGCCTTGGTTTTTGCAGTGTAAAATTTTGAAAATTTGCAATTTTATTTCAAAATCTGGATTGCAAAATTATTATGCAAAATCTATCGAACCGATTTTGATAAAATTTGGTGTGATTCTACATAACATGAAGTTTTCTTGTGCCAAGTATGAAGGTCCTATACCCAATTTAGAGACCCCAAAAAAATTCCCTAAAAAGTAGTTTTTTTAATACCATTTTTGGTAATTTTTTCGATTTTTACAGTAATAATCACGATTCATTCGATTTGTAACTAGTCATATTTTGAAAAAAAATTTAATTACAAACATTTTTTTCCTCTTTCATTTTCGCCTAAAATCAACTCTTGAAAAGGTATATAATTAAATAGAAAGAAAAATATAATATTTTCCGAATTTTTTTAACATATTGTACCGCCAAAAGTTAAGCCCACGTTTTTTTAAGCGCATAGAAAAATTTTCATTTCTAGTGATATTTAAATGCCAAAAAGTCAAAAATCTCCGTGGATATACGATTCATCCAAACCAAAACAGATACCGCCTAGTCTATTAGGCATTTTGCCACTTGTGAAGAAAATTATTGAAATACGAGTTTTGATCAACAAGTAACGGGAATTTTTAATTTTCTCAGAAAGTATTTAATCCTCACTTTTTGTCTTGTTGAAAGTAAAGAAACAAAAAACAAAGTTGGCCGATCAAATTGAAAATTGAAAATCTCTTCTCAATAACTTTCTTAAGTAAATATTTTTTATATATTTAGAAACAAAGGTACTTTACTCTTGACAATTTTTGAAAATTCTTCCTAAAAACACCCTGTACATTAATTAATTGGACTAATTTTTTCAACTTCCTAGCGTAAGACCAAGTAGAGATGATGCAAGAGTTACCAGATCTATTTCATGATTTCATGACAAACCCGGAGACGGGACCCATTTGTAAAAAAAAAAAGACAATCGGGAAATGTGACCCAGGAACATGGATTTCGGGGGTAGGGCGTTGTATAAAAGTCGAAAAATTCACGATTTTCCCGCAACAAACGAAAGCCAGAGAAATGACATGAAGACGTACCATCAAAACCCGTAGATCTGGCAAGCCTAGATGATACTCAGAAGTGTCTACGCCTCCGCCTGGGGTTGGATTTTGTTGAAATAATTTGTTGGGGTCCCTGGCTAGTGAGACTCCTGGGAAGGCATAGAACGTTGTAATGCGGAGAAAACTAATTAATTTTTGTTTGTTTTTACAAATTCTTACTTTTTGTAAACGTCACAAACATTTTCGTAAAATAAATAAAAGTAGGATTTATGTATTTAACGTGGCCCGAGATTCAGTTGTCGATTCGTTTGTGGAGTGCGGTGTAAAACAAGAAAGACTAACGATTCAAGATTCTAAACTCTCAAAAAAAACTAACTGCAACTGCTGTATGTGCTGTAACTGACTGACTGACTGCAAGTGGTGTAATTAACTGAATGACGACCGCGCGGTGGTCTAATTAATTTTGGTCGGACGGGGGACTGAACGCCGTTCGCTGCTGCCTGCGACGTTCTGTAGGGCCCTGCACGGAGCAATTTGTGCTTGTTTTACATTAGATTTAATGTAAAATCGTTGGTTCGGTGACAGAAGCTCAAATTTCAACTTGAAAAATTTTTGTCATGTGCACTCAATCCGTGGACACACTGTACACGTAATTGTTGCACTGCAGTACTGAACATGTTTTTGATGTGTCTCTACTCTCCATACTTAAAAATAAATTGCGTTTTACATTTTTTCGAGGCAGTTAAAGCGTATTTTCAAAAATGAAAAAGTAAAGATAGTCAAATATAAAACCACATAAAAGCCAAAAGCATTCGTTGTTCTCGGGAATACAGGCTGTTACAAATTCGCTTCTCACTACAGGGATCTCGGAAACGGTAAGAGGTACGAAGTAGCTTAAGTGGGGGCAAGGTTGCGTAATCAGGGGACCAACATTATACCTCTAAAAAATCAAGGCTAACACGATTAGTTTTCGAAATATTTGAAAGAAACCGAAATTTTGGAAATCCGTTTTTGTTTAATTACAGCCTTATTTGAGGTGATATTGAAAAAAGAAGAACATTTCCTCATAGCCACTTTTTGCCCTCTATTGAATGGCATAATCAATTTTTATTTGTAACGTTTTGTCTCTCCAAGACCATCATCAACTTCATTTTTTTAAATACGACCCTGTAAATTTTTTTACATTTTTTGCAAGCCTTTATAACCCCCAATACTGTGCTGCCTCAGCCCGAACCAGATTCAGACGTTTTGTCTCGAAAAATTCATCTTCAGTGTATTCGTTCCAAATTTATCCAAATTTTTCTATTTAGATTTCTTTGTTTATTGAATTATCATATGCTGTAAGTGTCGTTAGACCCTGTGAAATCCATCTAGTTATTTAAACTTTTATCACCACGCATTAAAATAAAACATTATTAGAGTTTTATTCCCGTGTCCATAGTTATTTCTAGGCTTCTCGAATGCTCAAAATTCAAACAAATTCCGATCTTTATCTTTTTTTCAGGACATTCATACAAATACATCTGACATGCTCTTTCAGTTGCAGTTACAGATATAATAAATTCCGATAATATTACGCTGATTTTCATTTTCAACCTTTGAGTTATGTATGACCAGGTGATGGTAATAGTTAATAATAATAAATGTTTTATTGTAACGCATGGTGGTAATACATATGAGGAAGTGTTGTTCTTATTTCAATATCACCTCAAACAAGGCTGAAATGAAACAAAAACGGATTTCCAAAATTTGAATGAAAGTGCATTTATCGATAATATGATTCCACAATCCTGCTCGAGACGCAACTGTCGAGGAACACATAATTATTGGATAGAGTAGACTTCAATTTTCAACTAAGAATAACTTTATGCCCGAGAGAAAAGGGTGATCATTTTGAACAATTTCTATAACTTATCAGTGCAAATTGTATGTTGTTTCTGTTGTTTAAGTTGTTTGTTTTTCTATTAAATTATTCTTATTTCAACTTGTTTTCCGGATCGTCAAGTTTGACGTTTAAATTCATAGCCAACTTTTGAATTTTCGACGATTTTAAATAACGGGAAGCAACAATACGTATTATTAGTTATTTGTGTTTTTGTTGAAAACGACAGTTTTTTGAAAACTAGCAAGAGTAAGAAAAGTTTTAGAATTAAATTCTCCATGAAATGAAGTAATAATTTTCCAGCCAACGGGTTAAAAAATTGTCGCATTTTAATGGTGCACTATTCCTTACCTTTAAAAGGCTTCAGTTGAACTCTACTGTCAATTAATGCTCTTGATACACTCACACCTGTACCAAATTTGGTTTTTCTAAGTTCAAGTACCTATAACCGAGATACTGATTTTTTCGAAAAGTGAAACCCTACTTTTAGGACAGGTGTGCAGATTACGATAAAGGTAAGTTGCTTTAAATCACCATATTTTGGATTCCCCTACACGCCCCTGATGTGTCGGTTCTTATGCGAAACACCCTGTATATTAAAACTTTCTTATGCATACATTTTTTACGAGACATATTGATTTAAATGGTACATAAAAATACCAGGGGTAGGAAAAAAAACGGCTGTAATCTAATAATTACATTTTATTAGGAGCTCCCATAGCACTGTTTACTCAGGCAAAATTATAAAACAAAATAACGTGTAATTTCAAGTGCGTAATAAAATTCATCCTACAAAATTCACTTCATCAAGCCAGAACCACTGTAATATTTTGCCACAAATTGTTGAACACAATTTAAATGATAAACATTTGTTTATGCTGCATTTAACAATGCACAACAAATGATTATATTTAAGATTTATTCACATAAAATTTAATTTAACAGTTAATTTTCAACTGTAAAAGTAGTTAAACCAAAAACCATATTTCTTCAACCAATAAGAATAGAGAAAATAAGTCACATGAAGCTACTCCTTTTTAACTGTATTTTAAAAGCCTAATTTGTGACATTTTACCGGAACTACAAGGCATTAATGGGAATTATTGTGCTCTAGAGTGCATTACTATGCATTATTACGACATTAGAGGGCATTACTGTAGGTTTACCCCTTGTATCATCCCCCCCCCCCCCCGTATCATTACCCCGTGTTTACCCCCGTATCATTTTGGTTAAAATTCCCGTTATATGATCGCCATCTATCTTAAAGTTTTTTGGTTTTTTATTTAGCTTTTATGACTTCTGTAACTTCTCTTCAACAAGTCACAATTTATTGTACCCCAAATTTTTGCTGCCAGTATACTTCTCGTCAAGCCTTCGCGTAAATCCTACTTGTCATGTATCACATTTCCTCTTGCTGGAGGTTCTGTTCTTATATCTCAACAAATGTTTTTTGAGACTGTTCTTATATTTAGTTGTGTAATCACAAATATCACACTTGTACGTTTGAACTTCTGATATATTTTTGTGTTTTAACCGGTGCTTCCTTAGAGTATCCTTATATTTAGTGCCATAACTACAGGTATCGCACTTATATATGTGGACTTCCGAAGGGTTTTTGTGTTTTAACTGATGTTTTTTCAGATAATTCTTAAGTTTAGTTTCAAACATACAAGCACCACATTTGTACATTTGGATTTCCGAAGAATCTTTGTGCAATAACTGATGCAGTTTTAGATTTCTCTTATACTTAGTCTCATAAGTACAAGTGTCACACTTGTATATTTGGATTTCTAAAATTTCTTTGTGATTCAACTGATGCAATTTTAAGCTACTCTTGTACTTACATTCATAAGTACAAGTATCACACTTGTACATTTGGATATCTGAAGGGTTTTTGTGTGATAAGTGGTGCCTCTTTAGATCACTCTTATGCTTAGTTTTATAACTACACTTATCACACTTGAACGATCGCACTTCTGAAAGATCTTTATGCACCAACTGATGTTTTCTCAGATCCACCTTAAATTTTGATTCATGTTTACGTTTATCACATTGGTACAATTGTGTATCTAATGAAGGCTCGCCGTTCTGAAATTTAAACTTTTCACTTTTTTGTATTTGTACATTGGAATCCATTGATGTCGTAATATTTTCAACAGATCCTGTCTCACGTTTAGGCATATATTTGTTCTTTATTTCTTCTCTATCTTCTGAAGAGCCTCTCATTTTGTTTTCAATTGATGAGCCATATGAATAAGAATCCCTGAAAAAATTAAAATTGTTTATAATGGAGTAAACATTAGATAAAAAAAGAGAGAGTGGAACAAACTTGATGTTAGTGAGATAAATTCCTGAGTTTTAGTCTCCTGTTGCTATTAATAACCTTGATTTCCTAAAAAAATTCACTTTTTTAAATTTTGTTATCTCTGCATCTGGTATATTATTTGAAAAGAAAAAATGTCTTTAATATTAGTGATATAGAACTTGATAGGTCTGTCTCTAGAGAAATGTGACCAAAAAAAAGTATAAAACCAAACGTGTGCGAATCATGGTACGTCTGTTAACATTTTTTTACAAATATTAACGCACCCAAAGCAAAGATAAACAATAAAATTGAAAAAGTACAATGCAAGAGGCTGAAACAGAATTATTTTTTCTGTAAAATCAAATAGTCTAAAAGCCTTAGGAGTCAATTTACCCTTAACCAATATACATTTTGAAAATCAATTAACCATCAGAGTTAATTTTTTTCAGTGCAAATGCTTATTTTAAAAAAAAATAACACGTTTAAACTTTTTTTATTATTGATAGTAAGCATTTTTGTTTCGGCAATTTTCCGGCAGCTCCAAAAGCGATTGGATTGAGAAGAATGGATCAAAATGCATGAAATAAACAGTCGTGACTGAATCTATTAATTCTACCCAAATTGAATCAAGTTAATAGGATACAGCCATGAAAACAGAAGGAAAATAAAAGGAATTCATTTAGAAATGTCACATACAGTTAACTTTATTGTCTGACAAATTCACATTACATTTTTTTGTGTTAATTGCCAGTTAAATAACGATATCTTGCAAAAATAAAAAACATGGGGTCTAGTGTTTCCTCACATTATTTTATTTTATAGTAATATCGGAAAATATTCCTATTAACATTGTAATTTGCAATTTTGAGAAATTTCACAATATATATTGGCAATAGCAAATTTTATAAATGATTCTACTCGAACCAGTTTAGAAATGTGTAACAATAATTAGTAGATTCGAAACAATTTACTTTAACTACGTCCAGTGGTGGAGTCGGATTTCAAGTAAAGGGGCAGTCAATAGAGTTTGTAGTTCCTGAATTAATGTCACTTTTTATAATTAATTAGTTAATTCAAAGGGTTCTTTTATCACAGTAAAGCTTTTTTTTTGCTATTACAAGATTAAATTCTTTATATTATTATTTAGGAAATATACGACTTTTAAAAAATCTTGAAGTAATAGCTAATCTTTTAAATTTCATTGAAGTTTCCTTACCTATCCTGATCGCCTTGCTCTACCTTAACTTCAGTCATTTCCAATTTAATACAAAACTGCTGCTCAAGACTTTCGTATTGTTCTTGCAAATCTTGACCATTTTCTTCCAGTTTTATTTCAATCTCTTCAGATTTGATATAAGACTGCCTATCATTAGATTTATATTTTTCCTGCGCTTCGAGGCATTTCTTTAAAAAATCGCCATGAGTATAAAGCGAATCAAAACATGGTCCGCATATAATAGGATCCTTGGTAGCACAGAAGTTCTAGGTAAAAAGATATTAGTGTTAATCTTTAATGTGTGCAAAAAGATAGCAAGACAGAGCTTCACAAATGTTGCCAGTTTGCTTTATAAACCTGTGTCAAATTATTAAGTTTGAAAGTTTACGATTAAAAAATAATTGGAGTTGACGATGATCCGAATAACGGAATAATATCCAAACAAAACATAAAGAAATAATGAAGATAACAAACATACGATTAAGTTAATGTTAGTTAAAGAACTTGTCACAATTTAGTTCTGAAAGACTAAAAGTTAAGAAAATTTTAAAAAACATCATTTTGTTGATACTCTTGTTAGTTCTCGATAACATTAATATCAAGAAAATTCAATTTATCAAAAAAAGAAAAATAAAAATTTCTTTGAAATATACTTACCACTATTGGTATATAAGTATCGATTATGTCAGCATCCACTTCATTTACTGACACAAATCCAACCGTTAGCAACTGAATACATAATCGACAAATTTTCTGATTTTCCGATATATCAGTTAACTGAATGTTCCCTTTCTCCTTTAGATAAACTTCTTTTAAGTCGACCAGTGACAATTTACTGCTGTCAATAACATATGGAAACATGATATCCTCGGTATCTATGCATACTAACTTAAACTTATAAGCGGCATATAATTTTACAGAGCACGATTTACATATTACATGTTTATTTCGCTCTTCTATGTTCTGAAATATATTTGTAATTAGAAATATTAAAAAACCTAAATATAAAGAAGAGTTATCTTAATATCTTGATCTTACCAGATTTGGCAGAACTACTTCTAGAACGTTCATTATGGCTTCGCCTATTACTTCGCAATTCGTGTCACTTATAACATTAAAACACAGACTACAAATTGCCTCCTTACAAAGTTGTGGGTGCATCTTTTCTGTTTTTTAAGAAATAGTTTAAAACATGAAAAATTCAAATTCTTACATAACCTACAACTGATATCATTGTTTCGCTTCGTGTTCTCTCACAGAACAAAATGTAATTAGTGTTGCCAAAGACCTATATTTTTTCGAGCGAGCAGTCCTGTCAAAAACGAGCGCGCGCCATTATTCCATGGCTAGAAATTGGCCTCAATGATTTGGGGTCGAGGGGGATTATCCCTCTTTATCCTGCCTCATCTCGTGTAGGCCTGGACAGCCTTCGTAGGTGGGCCCCATCCGTCGTCTACCCCGACCGCAAATGCGGCCGGTGTAGGCGCTTTGTGGGACCTCCTTTTGTCCTGGCTGGGCCCCGCCGGCTAGGGCCCTTTCTTCTGGCGCTCTTCTTGCTTCGCCGGCTCGTCTGTGTAAACCCCGGGGGTAGTGTCATGTTTATGTGTGGTATGGTTGGGTAGGGTAGTGCGGCTATGCAGCCTGGGATGCGCTTTGCTAAGGTGGCCCTTAGGCTAGCGCGGGAGGGGAGGGGTAAGGAGGGTATGGGGGGTGTGTATGTGTGTGTGTGTGTGTGTGTGTGGTTGTCTTCGTTTCTTGATCCTGGCTGTCTCTGAAACAGAAAAGGTTAGCGGGCAGGGGGGGGGGCATTGGGGTGGTCACCCAGGGTCAAAAAGTTGGTGTCTAGGTCTTTTGTGTTTGTCGGTCACGTCGGGTACGTAGTCAACGGCTTGCCTGAGGAGGGGATTGTCATGTCTAGCGGCTACGTCAAACCGTTTCTCCGCGTTTTGTCTTATTGTCTGTGTAGCGTTTGTGTATTGTAAGTCTCGTAATATGTCAGTGTTTCTTACGTACCAGGGCGCGTCGGTGGCCGTGCGGAGGGCTATGTTTTCCACAGCCTGTAATGACTTTAAGTGGCTTTTTGCCGCGTGACCCCACGCCGTGGAGGCGTAGGTTAGCTGCGGTTGAAGTACCACCTTGATAAGCGTTCGCTTATTCCTTAAACAAAAACGAGCGAGATTTTGTTTAAAAGAGTGCGATTTTTTTTATATTGAAATAAATAAATCAATCAATAACTCTATATTAACTTACGTTAATCAGAAATTAAAATGTTTTAATAAAATTAAAACCAAGAACAAAGATAACTTACTTTTGGGCGATATAGGCAACTACGTAAATAACGTAGTGGTGCCATACTAGAATAGCCAAAATTCATTAAATTACAGGTACAATTCTATAGCTTTTTGTTAGTAGATTTTTTTTATTCATTTTGAATTTAAATAAAGCTTCTGAAGAAATAAAAATTCAACTTTTGATATTATTTATTTTAACAAAAACAAAGTAAAACAAATAAAACTTATAACAATCACAAAGAAAACAAAAAATAAAAGAAATATAATAAATGTAATGTTTACTTAGAACCTTTTAATTCTCTAAATTTTCTTTTCATTAAAGTTGCACTAGGTCCATGAGTAACATGTATTAGAGCTAATCATTTCTTTGGTGTGTAAAATATTGGAACAAGTTTCGATGTTTAACCGATTGCGAACTTTAGTTTTTAACAGAAGTAGTTGCGAAAAAATTCTTTCCGCTGCCGCAGAGGAATGTGGCAAACAAATAATACCTTTAACAAAATACGATAAATTAGGGAACATAGGTTCATCAATGGCATTTTTTAGGGCAAAAACAATATTCCAAAATGTTTCGAAGTCCGAGCTTATATAGTTTCTTAAATGTGATCTGGAAGCATTCGCCATTCAGAATTTAATTTTTCAAGGTTAGCGATTAAATTTGGGAAAAACTGACTACTTGTAGTTGCAATACTGGATATATTTCCTGACATCACTTCTGTGGGATTAAATATTGACACAAAATTTAAAACAGGATCGTCAAAGTCAAATCGGGATTTCAACTGAGTGGATAATTCAATATAAAACTGCAAGCATTTTAATTTAAAATCATTCACTTCCCTCTTATCTATATTTTTATTAGACAATAGTTCTACTTTAATTAAGCTTTGATTAAAGCTTTCATTGGTAAAAAAAAGTATTAATGCATCCCAATTTTCAATGACTCTGTCAACTGCTGCCTGCAATGAGAGCCACCTTGTTTGAACAGGGTGAAGAAGTTTATTCGGTTTTAGGTGACAAAATACCTGGCATTCACTTAAGTGATCTATACGCTTCGAACTGTTTGAGAAATAATTGTAAATATCTCTTAGAAAATCTTCTACTCTGCTTGGCAATTTATTAACAGCAGCTGATGCACAAAGATGAACTGAATGACATACACAGCCAAGTGTATAAATGTTGGGAAGAATTTCTCTAAAACGAGCCTCCACTCCTGTCTTATTATCTTGCATCACAGATGCGTTATCTGCTGCTAATCCAATCAAGTTCTCAATGGGAATATTAAATTTTGCCAAATAATTTTGGATTGCTAAAAAAATTGATTCTGCATTAGATGTTAACTTTATAAGACCAAAAATGAATCCCTAACTTTTTTAAGACTCTCATCATAATATCGAACCACTAGTGCTAGAGACTTATGTGTACTAATATCTGTTGTTTCATCTATTATTAAAGAGAATTTAGTTTTTCTCAAAACTTCTGAAATCGCTTCAAGTTGTTCCAAGTTAAGACAGTCGTTAGTAATATAGGTAGCTTTTGTTTTAGAACAATTTATTAGTTTTGCGATATCTAAGTCAGGGCAAATGCTAAGAATAAAATTTGAAAGGTAGTCTGCCAGTAAAAATGGCAAGTTATGTTCATGTAAAAATGCACATATTTTAAACTCGGCTTGTTTCACAAGTTAATGTTTTTTTAACATGGTATCATCACTAATAATTATATCTATTTTGGGCGTATCTTTTACTTTTTTCATATTTTTTTTATGTATTTCAGCTGCTTCATGTTTTTTAATATTAAATGTACTACAACGAAATGAATTATTGCAAGGTGTACAGTACACTTGATTATTTGTAGGACTTTTAAGCCATGGATATTTGATTTTCCACTTTTCTTCTTGCGATATATTCACTGAAGACACAGTCATTTATAACTTAGCTGGCCAAACATTTCAAACGGTTCGGAACCAATCCCTGACTCTTGCTGGAACAGACGTCGCGAATGTAGCTAAGAGCTCGCCCTCTGGCGGTGACATTTCTTCTGTGTGTGACATTTCGTTTTGTATTTTATTTAAAACTGTATTTAGTGTTAGTTTTTTGAACACTGTTATTTTAAGAAAATAGTGTGAGGAAAACTTCAGCAATTATGGATAGAAAGAAGAAACTGTCAAACTATTATTGTTCTGTTCAAGGTTGCTCTTCATGGCCCAAGAAAAATCCAGAATTAAGTTTTCATCAAACCATTGAAGAAATTTTCAAAATATTATTGCCGATAGATAATACTCCCTGAATTTCATGAGGGTTGTTAGTAAGTAAGGGCACTAGTTTGCAGACATAATATAAATTTCTAAATTTAAATTAACTTTGCCCAATTTTCCCATATAGTACCACATGATCAGCGTTAAAAACTGCCTCTCCTTCTGATATACAACGAGAGTTTTCGTTGGCATATATGTAAATAGGAAATGTATTCCACAACGGATAAGTTCATAGTTATAACCTAATAAAATGTACATTAAATTGTAATGCTAGAGACAAATAAAGTAGACATAAATACTTGCCTTAAAATTTATTTATGAAATATTTGAAACCTATAAAATAACACAAAAGTCAAATAACCGCAGTTTGATAACAAAATTACTAATAATAATGGCAAATAAGACAAATGTTGTTCAAATTAATGTGTAAACACGAACGGCAATGTCAAAATGACCTTGTCTCGGAGCTTACTGCTTTCGCCGCTTGGTGCGCTTGCATCTTAAAAATTATCGTGGTTTACCGAAATATTGGATTTGTAAATATTATTTCAGAGTGCCATCTACCATAATATTTTAGCAACGTTCCCTTCTATTTCAAAGAGATGTCCACTTTTTGGCTACTGTATTTCCATCTAGTGGCGACAATAGACAAATAAAGTGGAATGGTGGTATTATAGGTTATGTTATGGTTGTTTTTGTCGATATGACTACTGTTGTTTTTTAGTGATTAAATCGGACTTCCTTATTCCCTTATTGGCAGAAAGAAAAAATGCAACCAGAAAACATTAAAGAAATATTTTGCAGACTGTGTGGTAATATCATAAGCGAAACACATTGTGAAGTTATAGGAGAAGTCTTAAGGGAGGTTTTGGAGTTTGTTTTGCCCAATGTGGTAAGATCAGGTTGTTAAGATTAATTTTATATCTCTACGTATTTTTTTTGATATTTCTAATTACAAATGTATTTCAGAACTTGGAAGAGCGAGATAAACATGTAATATGTAAAACGTGCTCTGTAAAATTATCTGCTGCTTTTAATTTTAAGATGAGATGTAAGGATACTGAAGATATTATTTCTTCATTTGTTAATTCCAGTAAAGCATCAGTGGTTGACTTAAAAATGGTTTATCTAAAGGGAAAAGGCAATATTCAGTTAGCTGATGTATCGGAAAATCATAAAATTTGTCGATTATGTATTCAGTTGTTAACGGATGGATTTGTGTCACTAAATGAAGTGGATGTTGACATAATTGATGAGTTTATACCACACCTTGTAAGTGTATTTCAAAGTATTTAGGAACATATTTGTATATGTATTACAGGGTCATCATTTTGCAGAAACTCAACTGCCATACATCAAGGAAGTAACAATAAATCCATTAGATAAAATTGCCTTTAATGCTGGACATAGCAGCTGTTCATGTCTATCTAATGCTGCGAGTTGGATGTACCTGGAAACAATTAAACATTTTTTATTCAGCTTTCAGATTATATGAATGTCTAGGTGATTCATAATCCTCAAATCATGGAAACTTCCCATGTCTATTAAGAAATGCCGACAAAATTCTGCAATTTACTAACATTTGTTTCAGAAAACTTTCACTTTATAAATGTCTGGCAGCTATAGAATTCTGTCTCATTTCTCTCTAAATTAGTAACATTTTATATCTACTTTTGCATAAAATCACAAACTAAAATCAAATAAATAAAAACATGGTATTTACGTTACTGACAAGATTTTCGATCACAATTTTTCTTTTGTCAGTTCTACCACGATAGTCAAGCAGAGGTTAACACTGATATTTTGTTATTTCAGAACCTCGCTGTTTCCAATGATCCTGTTATATGCGGACCATGTTTTGATTCGCTTCATACTCACCGGTGTTTTTTAAAGAACTGCCTTGATGCACAGGAAAAATATAAAAGTGTCGATCGGCAGTCTCATATTATATCTGAAGAGATTGCTATAAAACTGGAAGGAGCTGGTCAAGATGTGCAGGAGATTCATGAAAGTATTTGTGAGCAGTCTTATATTAAATCTGAAGAGATTGCTATAAAACTGGAAGATGGTCAGGATACGCGGGAGAAATATAAATGGGTTGAACCGCAGTCTTGTATTAAATCTGAAGATATTGAAATAAAGGTAGAAGATGAGGAGGGGTAAGGAAATGATGAATGAAAATGAAATTTTACAATTTCAAAATTCGTTGCATTGCCGTTTTAAGTTTTTCCTTTAGAACGATACTTTCCAGGGTTGAGATGATTTAAATCATTTTTTTAAATATACTGGGTGTAAGTTTAAGTGGGGTTTAGTTTTTTATATGTGTTCCTTTGAATACACCCGGCGGCGTAAACTGGGCCACCCAGAGTTGGCCTGGTAAGGTGTATCAGTACACTACCAACGCTGCCACTTGTTACCTTTTTAAAACAACTGTTAGAGAGACAATGGAAAATAATTTAGTAAAGCAAATTGCTTTTGTATGGCTTAGCACGTGTTATTTTAAAGTCATCCTACTTTTTTAGTATGGATGTGGGCGAAGCTCCGAACATTACAAAAACATTCTATTGTTTTTAAAAAAATATGTGTGGTGTTATGCGAAGATTGCTTCTTGTGGTCTTTATCTCGTTCAAACACACAGTTTCGGTTAAGAGAAAATAGGGAAAAATTGGGAGAAAAGCGAGTAATAAAATTATAATTCTGCGAGCAAAGTAAAACAACATAGATATCTTACTAATTGTTAATAAAACAAATTTGTTTTAAAAATGTACATAATATAAAACTAAATAAAAATACTTCCCAATCTGATTGATATGAAATGATTTTTTAAAAGCGTTTAAAGTTTTTACATTTAAGCATTTATGTGTTCTTATATATTTTAAGCAGTGTATGTATTTAATTTGCGAATCTCGGTGCCAACGACCTCTCATATTGACCTACTTTAGTTGAACTACTGTCATTACGTAAAGTAGATAGTGACGCATTTAGAAAAGTTAAAACAGGTAATATTAAAACGTAAAATTATCAACAAATTAGGATATGTTTCTACACTTTTTTCTTATTCATCCACAGCAGTCAATCGGTGCTAGACATTAAATTAATCCAAAATTATTGAAACCGAATTACGCCATGCAATAAATCGATTTTATTTTTTTACTCGAAAACGGTGTGTCATAAGAAAAACAGTCAACATACCTTTTCTCGTCCAAATTGAACAAGGAATTCAAAAATTATTTTTATTTTAAGAAAAAACAGTATCATTTTTTTCTTTAACAATATTTAGAGACATGCCTGTGCGCACGCCACTGGTGAAACTGAAAACAATATTTTTATCGTAAAACATGTATTGTTGTTAACTGTCAAAGCCTGTAAAATTTTATTAAAATATTTTGAGCAGTTTCCGCAATATTTATAAATCTGCATTTTTTTAATTAAAACTTTAACATCCTGTACATCGGAAACTAAGCGTTTTCAGAATATAGTATATTAAGGAAATATATCACAAATCACTTGTACTGTAGCCCCCTGCAAGGAATGCATCGACTTACCAAACACCCTGTATAATTCCAATTACACAGGCATACAAAAAAAAGTCCAATCCCAATTGACAGTTCTGAAGAAAATCGATGTGCTGAACACAAGCAGTCAAAATTCATGACTTACCAATGAATTTAAGAGAAAAGTGAAAAAGCCCAAATATGGGTCAAAACTGATTTTTTCCTAAATGGCATTTTCCTAAATTTTTCCTAATAAAATTTTTCCAAAATTCATGACAGGTCATGAATTTTGACTACAGGATCGTGTTCAGTGCATCGAATTCCTTCCGAAATGATATGTAGGTCTTTTGGGTTTGGACTTTTTTTTTGTGTGCTAGTATTATTTAATAAATTACTTTTTTTGTTTTGATCAACCCTATATCTTGTAAACGGTGATTCACTAATAATAATTGTACTCGGTTTAATTTCTTTTTTTACGTAGAACAAGTAATCATACTTAAGAAAAAACGGTCTATAACATATCTCATAGTTAATTAATTGCTCAAAATTTCTATTTTGATTTTTATTATTTATTTCAATACGATTTAATTTTTTTCAGTGATTTCCGATCATACGACTTAGGTGATGAAAGTGTTGAAGTAAATAATGAAAATAAATGTGAAACAGGATGTAACGAAGATTTTGTGACACCAATGTCCATTCACAACGACCAGATACCTAAAAGCAACAATTCTACAATTCAGAATTGTGAATCGTCCTTAGATACACAGTTGTACCAATGTGGTTTATGTAAATATAAAACTAGATTTAAGGCAAATTTGTATAGGCATCAGAGAATGCGCAAACACTTTTCCAAGAAGAAATCTTTTCCAGAAATCGAAATATTCAAATGTGATGTTTGTACTTATGAGACCAAACAGAAGAGACATCTGGAATTTCATAAGCAAACACATAAACACCCCTCACAAATCCTAATGTACAAGTGTGATACTTGCGCTTATCAGGCTAAATACATCAGTGTTTTGAAAAGGCACCAGTTGTTGCATAAAAACTCTTCGGAAATCCAAATGTACAAATGTAAATCGTGCAGTTATGAAACTAAATATAAGAGTCAAATAAAAGTGCATCAATTAAAACACAAAAACCTTTCAGAGATCCAAATGTACGCATGTCAGACGTGCAGTTTTAAAACTAAATATAAAGATTCTCTGAAGAGGCATCAGTTAATACACAAAAGTATTTCAGAAATCCAAAAGTACAAGTGTAATACTTGTACTTATAAAACTAAATTTAAGGGTCACCTAAAAGAACATCTGTTATCACACAAAGGTCATTCAGGATTCCCAATGCACCAGTGTGATACGTGTAGTTATGAAACTAAATTAATGTCACATCTAAAATTGCATCAGTTGAAGCACAAGGACCCTTCGGAAATCCAAATGTACAAGTGTAGTATGTGCGATTTTAAGACTAAATATAAGTATACCGTAAACAGGCATCAGTTAACGCATAAAAATATTCCAGAAAACCAAGTGTACAAATGTGATATTTGTACTTACGGGACCAATTTTAAGAGATATCTAAGTCGGCACCAGTTAAAGCACAAGCACCCTCCAGAAATACAAATGTACAAGTGTGACGCTTGTCCCTATGTGGCTAGACGTAGGGGACATTTAAAAATGCATCAGTTATCACACAAATTTCCTTCGGAAGTCCAAATGTACAAGTGTGATATTTGTACCTACGAAACTAAATATAAGAGTCATCTCAAAAGGCATCAATTAATACACCAAAAACTTTCGAAAGTCCAAATGTACAAGTGTGATACTTGTACTTACGAAACAAAATATAAGAGTCATCTCAAGAGGCATCGATTAATACACCAAGAACTCCTGTGAATATCCAAATGTACAAGTGATGCCTGTAGTTTTGACACTAATTATAAGGGACAACTGAAAGCACATCAGTTAATACATTAAGATTCTTTGGAAATCCAAATGTCATGAATAAGTTCTTAGGAGTTCACTTTCTGGAAATCTATATCATCTGTGACATTTTATTGGAGTAATTTAAATTTTTGGACATTTGTTCCGGCTCTATTACAATAAAAGAAATTTAATTGAGAACTTAATGAAGCAGGAGAGTCAACACCGGTATGAAACATTTTATGTAAAAATTGTAAATTATACATATACCAACTAAGATGAACTAACTGTCAGAAGGCTTCACAAAGTTGCCAATATAAAACGAACTAGAACATGAAATTTAATGAGTTTCTGGACTGAAAAGTACTATTCACCATATTTTCATTTATTTTTTTATTGTTATAATATTGAAGTTATGAGAATATTCTAATAACTAAATAGAGATTATAAAAGTAAAAAGCAGACTATTCCTTGTTTTGAGGAAAATTATCTTCAATTTACAATTTAATTATGTTTCTAAATTCGTCTTCACATTTTACTAGTGTTCTGAAAGTAACACATGATGTTTTGAAGTAAATAAATATTTTTTTTATTCTTTTTTGGTGTGTATTATAACTATGGTTATCTTGAGTATTTATTGTTTTATATTTTAAGGTAGGTTATATTTTTCCCAAATTTCATTTATAATTGCATTGTTATAATGGCTTATCTGTTATCTTCAGAAAAAATTTCATTTCATGCAATAAATCTGCTTTGTATGTATGTATGTATATATGTATGTATGTATGTATGTATGTATGTATGTATGTATGTATGTATGTATGTATGTATGTATG